GGGATATGCTGGTGATACCAGTGATACTCTGGTGAGGATGGCAGCCCCACTGCCAAGCGAGCAGCAGGACAGTGCCAGGCTGTGCCAGATGTGCCAGGGAGTGCCAGGCTGCTGCCACAGCAGCCACCTTCAGCCACCAAACACTCAAATCTGTCAGTGTGAGGTTCCTAGTGCGTCCATCCACCCAGGGACCTGCCCTTCCCCATCATTGGACTTGGCACCCCACTGCTCCGGCACATGGCTGACCCCAGGCTGAGGCATATTTGGATTTTCCTCTTGGCTTTTTTGGCTCTTTTTGGTCTGATCACTGTTGTGGGCTGGCAGCATGAGCCCGTGTCACAGCGTGTCCGGGTGGCAGGGACATGGGCACCACGTGTGTACGCGGCACAGATTTATTTGTATGTGCTGCAGCCTGGAGTTGGGGCTGCAGCTTCCCCCCTCCATCCCGCTGTGCAATCATTACCAGCCAGTATTTGTCAAGTACAAATTACAAACCATTCACCGTCTTAAAGAGCTGTCAGTCAGCTCCCACTCATTATCCTAATCAAATGCACTAAAAATAGTGACAAAACTTATTAGTAGGGGGAAGGGGAGGCCGTGAAAACAAACCTGTGGTGGGGCACGACCCCTGCATGCAGACACTGGAATATTGCCCTTACATGAGGTGTGAAACCCGGGGTGTTGGCCTCGGATGAGGTGTGAAACCTGGGCTCCAGCTGGGGACAGGAGCCTGGTGAGATACTGCTTGGGGTCTGAATCCCTTCTGTGCACGAGCAGAAGCCCCTTGGGGGCAGCTGAAGCCTCTGCCCAGCAGTGCGTGAGCAGGGCTGGTTGGAGAGAGAATTTCCTTTCTGTAGGAGAAGAGGGAGCAGTTCTGCAGGAGCTGGGGCTGGGAAAGGGTGGCAAATCCCGGTGAGGGGGCTCTGCTTTCCACCTGAAGCTCTGCCTCGAGCTGCTGCTGCTGCTGAGAGGGGTCCCCCCCATCACGTACACTTGTGAGAGAAAACGATCCTTTTTGAAAAATTTATCTAAAATATGCTTTTCTGGATGAGTCAGGGCTTGAGCAGCCCAGGTTGCTCGCATACCTTGTGCACGGTTTGTGCCGTAGCATTTGTCTCTGCTGCTGGGGATGGAGCACATGACTCATCCTGGGGGACCAGGTCTCTGCTTGGTGGCCGACCATGCCTGTCCGGAGATGGAGCAACAGGGCTGGAAATGCTGGTGTGTCTGGAGGAACTGGCTTTGCTTTTCCCCTGAAAAATCCCTCGCTGGGCTGGGGGGTGCCTGTGCTCCCCTTCCACTCTGGGACATCCCTTGGGGCAGCTCCAGCCGCCTCCTCTCTCATCCCCAGTGGGGTTGATGAAGTGGAGCAGAGAATCATCCCCTTTCACACATGAGAGATCAGAGCGAGCGGGTGCGAGCTGCCGGCCCCACGCCGGAGGGATGGCGAGGAGGAGGAGGATGAAGGCAGCCCTGGGCACTAGACCGTGGCGAGGGGGGCGAGGTGTCGGGGCGCGGGTGCTGACGCTCCCTCTCCTCGCAGGCTGCAGCGGGAGCTGAGCTGAGTTCGCCCGCGGCGAGGCTGTAGCCGAAAGCTCCGGTAAGACATCACCGACAGCCTGGGCACAGGAACGGGGCTGCTTCACCTCTGGGGAGGGCTCACACTGCGGACTGGGTGCCCTGCCACAGCCGGACTGGCCCTGGAGCATCCCTGGGTGGGCTGGGGCTGGCTGCAGGTGCAGGAGGCACAGCCAACCCTCCGTGGGTGCTCCCTGGCCCGGGGGCTCGGCCGAGGGCTCGCAGCTCATGCCCTGGTGGTTGGTGCTGTGCCGCTGGCGCTGCCCCCGGAGAGGAGAGGAGAGCAGGGAGTTCCTGCAGGCTGCGACGTGCCCGGGGTGCTAATCCCCGCCGCAGGAAAGCTGCCTGCCCGCCGCCTCGCATCGCAGGGAGCGCTGGCCCTGCTCCAGCCCTCTGCACAAGCCTTGGAGGGGAAGAGGGGCGGTCCTGCTGAAAACCGAGGCACTGGTCGGGATGGGGCGCGATGCTGAGCCCCCCATCCCAGCCTTGTCAGCTGTGAAAAGCACAGCAACAGGGCAATACCCCACAGGGCATCAGCCAGGCTGCCCTGGCTGGATGTTGGTGGAGCTGAGCATCCCTGCAGCCTGCTGTGTGTGGAAATGTTGTATTTATTAGACATAAATTCATTAGACATACACACAGCATAGCTCCTGGCAATGGGTATTTTTTACAGTCTGGCTGCTGCAATGCTGTCCCACAGCTCCCAGTGATGCTGCTGGGGTGTGCTGGGTGCCACCACACTTCTTTCTCTGCCCTTTGACTCCGAGAGGGTTTTCATTGGCGACTGTGCCAGAGGCAGGGGGGGTCTCTCCCTGGTGCCTCCCCAGGACCTGAGTGCACAGCACATTCCTGCTGTCATTAATCACTCCTTTGCCAGGCTCTTGCACAACCCTGCATTCTCCCAGGAGAATCTGCACCCTTTCCTTTCTGGCTGCCCAGGGGGTGTGGGAGCTGCAAGGGTTTTCTCAGGCCCTTCTCCCTGGGGACAGGAGAGCCACAGGGCTAAAGCCACATGATCATGGTGGCTGAGTTACCTGGGACTCGGAGTGGGGATGGTGTGAGGCTCCCAGTGCCTCTGGGCACAGTTTAGGGTTGCCAGCCTGCATTTTGCATTGCCCAGGTTGAAGTCAGAGTGTGCAGGTATTTATATAATAGGAAGCAACAGGAGAGCTTGGAGTGGGGCTCTGCAGCCCCTTCCCCAGAGAGCTGTTGGCTCTTCCTCCTCTTCCTCCGTCTTTGGCTCTTGCAGCCAAAGTCCTGACAGCTGGATTGGGCCCTGTCACAGCATCATGTCTCAGTGACCAGCACATCCAGTAAAGCCCTTGCTTGGGAGGGTCAGCACCCCAGTACAGGCTTGGAGCTCTCCCTGCCCAAACTGCTGCATGAGGAGGGATGAACTCACAGTTCCTGGTGTTCCAGGTGTTCCTGGAAGTTGCACATCCTGGGCCCACAGGGTCACAGGTGTGAAGGTGAGGACCCCCCTGTTTTAGGGAGGTTCCCGGGGGATCCCCTGTGCTCTGCTCCTGGCTAATCTCTGGGTATATTGACTATTTTATACCTTGATTTCCTCAGCACACTGATAAATCATTTTCTGACCCAGGCTCAGAAAATGTGCTTGGGGGACACTTGTGTCCCCAGAGTGCTGCTAAACCCACCACCTTGGCTGGGGTGTTTTCTTGCCTGGGGAAGTGCTGCTTCCAGGGGAAACTCTGAGCAGCTCTACTCTTGCTCACGATCCCGTGGGGAGTCACAAGCCACACGGTCACAGCCCTGCCATGCTCCCACTTTTCTCCCTGCACTGCCACTGGCATCCTGGGAGCCCCAGCGGGTGCCAGAGCCCCGGGCAGAGGTGAGCAAGGGGCTGGCTGGGGACAGGGAGGTGGGGGCTCCTTGTCATCACTCCTCATGTCTTGCTCTCCCTTGCAGTTCTGCTTCTACTGCAACAAGCTTTTAGAGTGCATTTATTTATGGGACAGACTCCTTCCCCTCGGCTGCAGGATTCTGGATTGCCAGAAGTGACCATTTGCAAGTCTAAAGTCTTATTTGACCCTTATTTGCTTTGAGACCCCCAAAGCCTGGCACAGATCTGGGTGGGCTGAGTCCTGTGGCAGACACAGGCATGGTCCCTCCTCGTCACCTGCATCCACAGGAGGAAGGACAGCTCTACTGCCCACTGGAGTGGCTGCTGGAGTCACAACCAGCACAAAAATATCAGTTTATTACATTTCCCAAACCATGGCAGGATCTGAGCCTGCCGGCATGGGTCACCCAAGGACACTGCTGGTCCTCTGTGCAGTGTGGGAGCTGGAAAACAGTAGATGGAAATTGTGTCTTTTGGGAAATAAGCCCTGATCGTCAGTCAAAGCCCTTGCTGTGGGAGGGGAGCTGAGGGGAACAGGGAGCAGCTTGTGCCTGGCACCCCTGAGCTTTCCCACAGCAAGAGCCAAGGGCATTGCCCCAGTGCCACTGGGGCTGTGCAGGCTGCTGGGGCTGCCCATGGCTCTGGGGGGCTTGGCCTGAGCTTCTCCCCAAAGCTGGGCTAGAAGAGCCCTCTGTTGGATGAGGCTGAGCCCTCCCAAACCTCACACATGGCTGCATCCAGGTCTGCACCCTGTGGGCAGCAGCTGCCTCCTCTGCTGCTTCCCTGCTTGTTTTCTTATCAGAGATACTCTCCTCCCTGCTTGTCTCCACCTCCCTTTTCCCTCCTGCCATGCGTGATCTAGCCTAAATATTTCCTTCCATAGCTTCAGGACACTGCTGGGTATCCTGCCATCTTTGGAGACTGCAAATAATTCCCTGCCTTCATTTATGTCATTACCTTGAAGGTATTTATAGAGTGTGGTCTTGAGTGGAAAGGAAGGCTATATATAAACTATTTCACTATATATAAAGGCGAGATCCCTTGGTCCTTGGCTGCAAACTGCCTGAAACTGCTCCTGATTTAAACTTTTATCCTGTTGGCTGCATGTTATGGACTTCAAAGGTCTGTCTTCAGTACTTAAATCCCCATCCTGGTAGAAACCCATGTGTAGGAGGAAACACGGGGACTGAGCTGTATCCCATGGCAGATTCCTGGCCCCAGAGCTGCCACAGTCTCAGCACAGGTGCCAGGTTCCGTGCTCAGCATCTTTGCTCTGCACTCCCACGGCTCAGCGTGCTTCCCTCTGCTCCCAAAGCATGTCCTGGCAGTTTCACTGCCTGCTGTGGCCACACAGGAGGTTAATGAGGGGCACTGGTGTCCCAGGGCAAGGGCAGGATGGCCAGACTGCCCAGCAGCTGCTGCTTGAACAGACTCCAGAGGTTGTTTCGTTTCCTGGTGGGCAGGCATCTGTCACTCGAGAAACAAATAATAATAATAATAATAATAATAATAATAATAATAATAATAATAATAATAGATGTTCTCTGTATGTCTGTGTGTCCTCCAGCCCGGGACCATGGGGAGCAGCAAGAGCAAGCCCAAAGACCCCAGCCAGCGCCGGCGCAGCCTGGAGCCCCCCGAGAACAGCCACCATGGGGGGTACCCGGCCTCGCAGACACCCAGCAAGGCGGCTGCTCCCGACGGCCACCGCACGCCCAGCCGCTCCTTCGGGACCATGGCTGCTGAGTCCAAGCTCTTTGGAGGCTTCAACACCTCTGACACGGTCACCTCCCCGCAGCGTGCCGGGGCACTGGCTGGTCCGTGCGGGCTGGGGGGGTCCGCAGGGTGGGGAGGGTCTCAGCTGGTTGTGGGGGTTTGTGTGCAGCTCCTTGGGGTCTTGGGTTTTTGAGGGGCTCTGGGCTTGGGGGAGAAGCAGGTGTGTGTTATCAGCCAGTGGGAGGATGGTGGGAGGGGCACCCAGCAGAGGTCCGTGGCTGTGCCCCTGCTGAGTGCTCTTTGTCACAGGGGGAGTCACCACCTTCGTAGCCCTCTATGACTACGAGTCCCGGACAGAAACGGACTTGTCCTTCAAGAAAGGAGAGCGCCTGCAAATCGTCAACAACACGTGAGTGTCCCTGTCCCTGCAGCCACGGGGTGAGCTGTCACCTCTGTGCCTCCTGTGGAACCCCAGCCCCGCCCGGCAGGACCAGCTGTCCCAGGGATGGGTGCTCAGAGAGATGTGCCAAAATGCACACGGGCACAGTGACTTGTCCAAGGGCACAGTGACATGTCCAAGGACACTGACAGCGGTCATTTGCCTGCTTCCTCATCCTCCTGGCCCTGCTGCTGGTCACTGTGGCCTCACAGCCTTGTCACCAAGCCACGTCCTCTCTTTGCTGGCCATCCTGTGCCCTCCAGCACAGAGCCATGTCCCCACCAGTCCCGTCCCCATCCATGCTCAGCTCCCTCTTGTTAGCCGGGACACATCCCTCAGCTTCATGAGTGCTTTTCCCTGTGCTTGTACACTGTCTCAGCTTCTCTCCTGACTCTTCTTTCTCTCCCTCCATGCTGTCGTTCAGGAGAAAAGTGGATGTCAGGTGTGTATTTCACATTCTTACTGTTATTATAAATGACCTAAATGATCAAAGCCTGTCTGCTGCTCACTTGAGGGCAGGTGGGATGGAGCAGGGCTAGGAGGAGATGGTTTCTAGATGGTTTTGTGGTTGGTTGCATTTGTCCTCTCTGAGTGACCAGAACATTTCCCATGCTGGGGAAATGTTCCATGCAGAGCTGTGTCTGTGCCTGGGAGCTCTGAACCCATCCTCTTTCCTTGTCCATGTGTGGCTCTCCTCTGCACTCTCTTTCCAGTTGGCTCTCCACTCCCCCTTGCCCTTTGCATTTTCCTTTTGCACTTTTAAATTTTAATTTTCTATTTCATGAGTGGCTCTGGTGATTCAAGTATTTCCTCAGGGGTCTGACCCCTGGTTTGCTCCCCATGCTGGTCACCACAGCACGTCCATCGTGTGCAGGGCAGCATGGCCAGCTGGAAGATGCTCCTAAAAATGATCCTGAATTAACCCCATGTGTGGTCTGTCCTGACAGGAGGCACACACAGTCCAGAGCCTGGCTGGCAGAGCCAATGTCCCCAATGTCCCCAGCTACGGAGCTGACACTGGAGCTGCAGCTCCTGCTCCCCCTCCACTGCTACTTTCCAACATGGGCACCCTGAACATCAAAGTCAAAGGGTGGAAAGACAAGGGAACATCCCAGGAGTGAGATTTCTCCTGCAGTGCTTGGGCAGTGAGGCACAAACATGTTTTCAATCTGATCCTTGTTCTCATTGTTCTGATGCTGTTTATTAATGGTGATTTGTTTCATCTATAAAGTCGGGGATGTGCAGAGTTTCAATGTTGAAGGAAAAGCCTGAATTTGGGAGTTTTGGTGTTTCTTACTTTCAGTCTCAGCAGTGTGTGAGCTCCATGCTTGAGTTCTGCTTTCCAGCTATTGCACAGTGAGCTCTGCCTGTGGGGGTCCAGATCAGGCCCATAAATGAGGGGTTTTTCTTTATGCCTTTTATCAGTTCTGGGCTTTCCACGCTTTTTTTTTCTCTACTGCTTTTTGTCAAAGGCTCAGTCAGAGGGCAGGGTTAGTCTGTGATGGGCTCTGCAGCATCCTGGGGAGCAAAAGGGCTTTTTTTGGTGATGCAGTCCTTTGGTGGAGGGCGCAGGATGTAGCTGCCAACCTTCCCAGTGCCTGTATGGGTGAGATGTCCACAGGGAGAGAGGTGGTGGAGGAAGTTGGGCAGTTTGTGCAGTGCTCAGGGGTGAATCACTCTTCCTAATGACCTCCCAGAGATGCTCACACAGTCTGGGAACAGCTCAGGCTGCTGCACTTTGGGGACAGCAGCAGACAGATGTGTGATGTCCCCTTCCTGTGGGCTCCCTGGCAGGACAGTCAGTGTCCTGGAGACGCAGGGTGGGGACTTGGGTTCAGCCCAGGAAGGGCTGGCAGGTGCTGGGCACAGTGGGAGCCCATGGCCAGGGTGGCTTTGCAGGTTTGGCTGCTCTGACAGGGCTGGGGCTGCTCAGGGTGAGAGGAGAAGCCTCCACATCGCTCACCTCCCTGCTCTGGGTCATCCTACCAATCCACCCAGGGCAGAAAGGCTCTTTTCCACTGGGAAGAAATCTCCTCCCAGCCAGCAGACAGCCAGCTGGGATGTGGTGGGATATTTTGGGTAAGATTGTACAGGGAATTGTTGAAATGCTTTGTTTTGATGATGATGATGATTATTATTTTTTCCCCACTGAGACATTTTTGGAATAGTTTGTTTTGCTGAATTCCTAGCTTGTAGCCTTGCAGCCCAAGCTGGAATAAAGCCACAAGTCAAAAGCTGGGCATTTTTCAAGCAGATGTTTACTCTGGTCCTGTGGGAAAGGAGCCCAAGCAGCCTCCTGTCCCCTTCAGAGCCACCTCGGAAAAGGTGACTGGGGCAACAGCCCTGGCTGAGGAGCACAAGCTGCCTGCCATGAGATGTGCTGGGGGTGGAAGAAGCTAAAATATCATCCAGGCCTGCTGTGAGGCTGTTCCAGGGGCAGAGCCCAGCTCTGTGAGTAGGAAGAGATGCCTGGAAGGTCTCCACCACCCCACCACACTGACACCATGTCTGGGTTATCCCAGTGCTTTGAAGCATCACTGGTTTAGCTGGGAAAAGCACAGGTCACAAGTAGCTGGCGAGACTGGAGCAAGGATGGAGGTTTACACATCTGCAGGGTCAGGGATGGGTTTGGATGTGGTCTGGTGATCCTTGTAGTGGTGACTGAGGTTATTGGTGTTTTTCTGCTGCATGTTTGTGGAGGTTGTCCTGCCAAGTTCTTGTATCCTTACGGTGCTGTTCCCACGAATCTGCACTTTTCCTGTAGCCTCGTCTCTCTTGTGGTCAGGATGAATTCAGTGACTGTCTTTGATGGGCAAGAAGATGCAGGTGGTGGGAGGAAAAGCCCTACTGTCCACGGGAACGGGAAATCACCTCCTGCCGTCCTCTTGTTGTTTTTTATTTGTTGTCTTTCCCAGCCCTGTCCGGAGCAGGAGCTGTAGGAAGGAGGGCAGAGCACCCTCCGTCTCCTGGGAACATGCCTGGGGCTGCTGTGCCCGGGGCAGGAGGGATGGATGGTGGCTCAGCCGCAGGATTTTAGGGACAAGGAGCCTCACTGGTGGCTATGCAGGCACAGGAGGCTCAGGGTCGGGGCTGCAGCCTTGCAGGGGCTGTGAATGGGCTGGACAGATCCCACTGCATCCAGGCTGGACACGACAGATGGGCAGGGCTCAGCCCCTGCCAAAACCTCAGCCCTGTCCTGCTGCTTTTCTGCAGCCTGTGTTTAACTAACTCCCCTGGGTTTTCCTGGTTCCTTTTTCAATTTCTGCCATCCTTTCGTCGCTTCTCCATGTTTCCTGTCCCTCTCCTTGCCTGCTGCTCCCTGCTGCCACAACCCAACCTCCAGCCAGATACCCCTCCCATTCAGGTGGCTCCAAAGGTATTTTGGCTTGCTGGTGCCCTGCCTGCTTCAGCTTTAAAGCATTCCATGTGTGGATGGATGGCCCCAGTAACAAAGGCAGGGGCAGGGGCTGGCAGCAGGAGCACTCCTGGCTGGGCTCTGGCTGTAGGGCTGGGGGTTCTGTGCTGGCTCATCCTCCCCCGGTGCCTGTGGGCGGGTGAGGGGCTGGCTGGGGGGCTCCTGGCTTCACACTGAGTGTGTTTTGGTTCTCTTGCAGGGAAGGTGACTGGTGGCTGGCTCATTCCCTCACTACAGGACAGACGGGCTACATCCCCAGTAACTATGTCGCGCCCTCAGACTCCATCCAGGCTGAAGAGTAATTGCTATCTTCTAGACAGTTCATAGACAAGGGATAGCAAACACACCCTGAGCTCCCCCTCCACTCCTGCCCCCTCCTGGGAGAAGCCTCCAAGCCCTCTGGGTTTTTCCTTTTCATTAGTTTTCCCCTTTGAATGTGCAAACCAGCCTTTCTTTAAGGCCATAAGTGCAGTGCTGCAGCGTGCTTGCATGGTGGAGGAGTGAGTGGTGGCATAGCAGGGCTGTGGATGCTTTTGGACTGGTTTTTATGGAGAGCCTGGAGAAGAGAAGGCTCCAAGATCTCATTGCAGACTTCCAGAACTTAAAGTGGATTTTAAAAAAGAGAAATACGTTTTACACAGGCAGAGAGGCCTGTGAAAGGACAAGGGGGGAATGTTTTAAATTAAAAGAGGAAAGATTTAGATTAGGTGTTCACAAAAAGTTCTTTACCCGGTGGATGGTGAGACATTGACACAGGTTGCCCAGAGAAGCTGCCTCATCCCTGAGAGTGTTCAAGACAGTTTGGATGGGGCTTTGAGCAGCCTGGTCTAGTTGAAGGTGTGGCAGGAAGGTTCCAACCCCGATGGCAGGGAGGTGATGCCCAGCCCAGGCTGCATAGGGATGGCACACACTGAGGTGCCTGAGCCCAGACACAGCCCCTGGTCTCCCAAACCTGCAGTGGGTGGGCCAGGGCTGAGCCCCCTGCTTGGGCAGGCAGTGGAGGGGGTAGTGCCAGATGCTGAGCCTCTGCCTTTCTCCTGCAGGTGGTATTTTGGGAAGATCACTCGCCGGGAGTCTGAGCGACTGCTGCTCAACCCCGAGAACCCCCGAGGGACCTTCCTGGTCCGGGAGAGCGAGACCACAAAAGGTGAGCAGGGCTGGGGGGGGTTGATGGAGCCTAGAGGAGACCCTCTCTGGGGGGGGTGGGGGTACCCTGAGTCCCCTCAGTCTCTCCTGCTCGTGCTGGTCTCCAGGGAGATGATGCTGACATGGCCATCACATCCCCAGTGACATGTCTGTGCCAAAGGCACTGTTACACCACTGAGCCCGCGGGCTGGAGGGATGTGGCCACTTCTCTCTCACCACTGCCTACCCAGTGAGCACCCTTCACAGAGGTGATTCAGCTCATGGCAGGGTGGAAGCCAGGGGTCTCACTGACTGGCAAGACCACCAGGCAGGACGGTTTCTTTTCCTGGCTTTTTTTGTTGTTGGTTTATTTGGTTGGGTTTCTGTACACCCTCAACTAGATTTTTTTTTTTTGTTTTCCCTTGGTCCCTGTATAGTGACAAAATCTTGAACGTGTGCTTCCTGGGCAGTCAGGCCGAGGGAATGATGAACTTTAGTCCTTTCAAGTCTGACACTTCTGGAAGTGCAAGTTGTGATCTTTGAGGTTTTACTGCCTGAGGATGATGTTTCTTACTTGGTTTAGTTTGGCTTCAAATGCACCTTTGAGAAAAGTCCCTTGATGTTCCTTTCTGGTTTTATGCCTTGAACTTACCACTATTTGTTTTACTCTGATGGAAGCAGCTTCTTCAAGCAGCAGCACAAATCTTCCCCTCTGCTATCTGTGGCCCCAGCAACACCACATTGTTCTCATGTGGGCAGAGCAGAGCCAAGCTCCTGAAGCTGTGGTGGGATTTGTGCAGGAGGGAATTGGGCCCACCAGCTCCTTAGCTCCTCTCTGAGACACTGAGGAGTTGTTGGTCAGCAGCTGCCCCTAGCCTGGCTCTGCCTGCTCCTCTCCCCTTGCTAGCACATCCCATAGATGGCTGTTGGCAGAGCTGCTGTGCAAGCAGAGGGCAGCTGGAGGTTGTGATGGTGTGGCATGGCCGTAGCTGGGGGATATGTGCCGTTCCTCCCTGGCACCTGGTGCCAGCTGGTGCAGCCAGGAGCTGCTTCCCATCCTCTGCATTTGGGTGGAGGCAGCGCCTCCATGCCCAGTCCTGCATCCCCCATGCCCACCCACAGAGTCCCCACCCATGGCACATCTCCCACAGCCCCTCTGTCGTGCCCACAGGTGCCTATTGCCTCTCTGTGTCTGACTTTGACAACGCCAAGGGGCTCAACGTGAAGCACTACAAGATCCGCAAGCTGGACAGTGGCGGCTTCTACATCACCTCCCGCACCCAGTTCAACAGCCTGCAGCAGCTGGTGGCCTACTACTCCAGTGGGTAGCCATGTGGGTCCCCTTGGGGTCTGGGTGGCACCCTGGGTGCTGTCCTTGCCCTCACTGCAGGGTGGGTGCTGCTGGGAAGCCATCGCTGCCCTGGACTGTGGTGAACAGCTGGGTTTTAGGGCAGAGGGTGAGGGTTTGGATATGGGACCCCAAGGTGTTTACAGGAAAGATGTGAGGTAAAGACATCACATGCCTAAATACCCTTGTGTCACCCTGCTGTTGTCCCTTCCTGTGCCAGAACATGCTGATGGCTTGTGCCACCGTCTCACCAACATCTGCCCCACGTCCAAGCCCCAGACCCAAGGCCTTGCCAAGGATGCCTGGGAAATCCCCCGGGAATCGCTGCGCCTGGAGGTCAAGCTGGGACAGGGCTGCTTTGGAGAGGTGTGGATGGGTAAGGACCATTCCTACCCTGCTGTCCCCTCTGTGTCACCTGCACCCTGTCCCCAGCCATCTGCAGATGCCTGAAGCCTGTGGTGGAGCGGGGGAGCAGGGGAGGGACACATCCCCCTGCCCCGTACGTGTGTCCTGAGCAGCGTGTCCTGTGCCACAGGGACCTGGAACGGCACCACCCGGGTGGCCATCAAGACACTGAAGCCTGGCACCATGTCCCCAGAGGCCTTCCTGCAGGAAGCCCAGGTGATGAAGAAGCTGCGACACGAGAAGCTGGTTCAGCTCTACGCTGTGGTGTCAGAGGAGCCCATTTACATCGTCACCGAGTACATGAGCAAGGGTGAGCACGGGAGGGACACCGAGGGGACAGCTGAGGGGCTCTGCTCTTCCAGATTGCTCTGACCATGGTCTTCCTCACAGGGAGCCTCCTGGACTTCCTGAAGGGTGAGATGGGCAAGTACCTGCGGCTGCCCCAGCTCGTGGATATGGCTGCTCAGGTGGGTTTGCACATCCCTGAGCCTCCCTCATTCCTTGTGGGGACGTTGGCTGCCTGAGCCCCTCACTGTGCTGTCACTGGTCAAGGTGCTCTGCAGCCTCGCTTGGGTGGGTGCCATTGTTGGTTCTCAACCCAGAGCAGGGTTGCACTCTGGGACTGTCATACTGCCCATTCTTGTTGCTGCCAGCTCTCCCTGGCCAGCAAACTCAAGCCTGCATGGCATTCCTTGAGCAACTGGTGTTTCCCACACCTCAGCTGGGTCCCTCTGCAGGCCTGCTCCCCTTAGTGGTGCCAGGCTCTCCCTGGGGACCCTCGTGTCACCCTGTCAGCCATGGTGCCCCACGTGCTGCTCCCCACAGATTGCATCTGGCATGGCCTATGTGGAGAGGATGAACTACGTGCACCGGGACCTACGGGCAGCCAACATCCTGGTGGGGGAGAACCTGGTGTGCAAAGTGGCTGATTTTGGCTTGGCACGACTCATCGAGGACAACGAGTACACGGCTCGGCAAGGTGTGTGCCAGGGGCTGCTGGCACCAGAGCAATGGCCACTGTCCCCATGGTGTGTCATTCCTGGAGCCAGCATGTGGCTCTAGGGGTCCTGGAGGCACCCTCTCACCCTGCCTCTCCATCCAGGTGCAAAGTTCCCCATCAAGTGGACGGCCCCCGAAGCAGCTCTGTACGGCAGGTTTACCATCAAGTCAGACGTCTGGTCCTTTGGCATCCTCTTGACCGAGCTGACCACCAAGGGCAGAGTGCCATACCCAGGTGAGGGCTGGCCCTGTCCCCACTGTGGTGCCCAACACCAGCTGTCCATTCCCAGTGCTTGTCCCTGAGCTGCCTCTTCCCAGGTTGGATCCTGCCCCACTGGGGTGAGCAGATACTGGCCAGGATGCAGCATCCCAGCCACCCTGTCCTGCTCTAGTCCCTGAGCAAGGTGACAGGCACAAGTGCTGCTAGGCCAGGGGTCCCTCTCTCCCTGGGTCACTGGGATTGCCCCTAAGGCACAACACCCTTGGGACAGGCACGGTGCAGGTCTGGCCCAGCTCTGATCAGTGCCTGTCTGCTCTGGCTGCTCGCAGGGATGGTGAACCGGGAGGTGCTGGACCAGGTGGAGCGGGGGTACCGCATGCCCTGCCCGCCCGAGTGCCCCGAGTCCCTGCACGACCTCATGTGCCAGTGCTGGCGGAAGGACCCGGAGGAGAGACCCACCTTCGAGTACCTGCAGGCGTTCCTGGAGGACTACTTCACCTCGACAGAGCCCCAGTACCAGCCTGGAGAGAACCTATAGACACAGGGCTCCTCCTGGCACCAGGGACACTGCTGTCCTCACCACGGGGCACCAAGGGCTGGCTCCTCAGCGAGGGGCTGTGTTTGTGGAGCAGCCCTGGAGCAGGACAGGGCATTATCTCCAGATGCAGCCAGGGGAGCTGCTGGGTTCCCCCATCGCTCATTAAGACTTCTGGCCTGTGTTTAATGAAGCAGCGCTGTTCTGCTGGCGAGAGGAGCCTGTGGGCACCAACAGAGCCAGCTCAGGAGGGCAAGCAGAGCATCTCCTGCCAAGAGACTTGGGTTTTGGGAGACTTTTTCACCCCACAGCTCTGGGGTGAGCCAGGAGGAATTGGGGGAGAGCATCACCCCGCCTCAGACACACGGTCCCAGTCTCCTGCAACCCCTTTCTAAATCAGCACAAATTTCCTTGCCCCTTCACCCTCCCCACCATCTCCCTCTCGGCTCCAGCTCTACCAAGGGTGCTGGCAAAGATGTTTTGCCACAGGGATGTCATAATTCCAGGCTGGCTTGAATGGGGTGATCTGCTGGGGTGGTGGTGGTGGCGTGGGATGACAGCAGAACTCTGGTGGTCCCTCTGGCCTCATCATGACCTTAGTGGCTGGTGAGTTCTGGGACTCTGAAATGTGACAGCTCCAGGCTCTGGTCACCAACACTGTCCCATCGGAGCACCCAGGCACATGATTGAATCTTCCAGCTCTTTCTGTTCCCCCAAGGGACACATCTCACCTCTCTGGGGAGCAGGACTGGGGGTGCCAGCAGAGCCCTCACCCTGCTGCACTTTCTCCCACCACATGCTCCAGGTCTTCCAGCCAGACCCTTGGGAAGTACCCCCCCAGCCATCCTCCCCAGGTCTGCCACCAGCTTTCCCACCAGCAGAGTCCCCTGGGCTGGTCCTGCCACCAAATCCAGTGCCACTGTGGTGCTTGGGTGCATGGCCCATGTAGCTGTTCTGGGTTTGGGAATGTTTTGGAGGAAGTACTCGACTTTCACAGATGGTTTTGTCCACCTGGTATGTTTTTAGCTACCCATTGTGTCTCAGCTTCCAGGCAGCAATCCCCATGCAGCATCCCCAGCCACATGCCCCCCTCTGGAAGTGCTGTGCCACATTTGCATCCTCATCTCCCCTCTGCTCACTTCCAAAGGCCTCAGCCATGTCTCAGCTGTGGGTGGCTCTTTCTGCCCAGCTTTGTCCCACACACATCCCGTGGGGCTGATCCCTGGTGTCAGCAAGGCTCATTCCCTGCCCTCTCCCACCCAGCACCTGTTTGTACATAACCCTTGTGATCCCTGCACTGTCCCACGCCTTGACTTCATTGCATGTGTTGGTTTTCCCTCTCCTGTGGCTGTACCCAGCTGGAACCTTTCACCATGGTGGTTCACAAAGTTTCATTCCTTCACCTCCTGGGTCCCAGAGACCCTTGCTCAGAGAGACCTGGGGGTATTTGGATGCTCTCCTGGAGCACGGTGGGTTGGAGGCTCGGGGGATGCTGTGGGGCAGGGGTGCTGGAGGGAAGGACCCGGAGAGGGGAGCCAGTGGCTGTGTCCTCCTCTCAGTTCTCAGGCCATGGGATTTCTGTGCCTCCCCATCACCTTTGGGATGGTGTTTGCCTCTGGCACAGCCTCCTTGCAGGCAGCAGACCCAACCCATCCCTCACCAGCCCCTGCCTTGGTGCCAGTGTCCTACAAAAGCTGGGTGGGAGCCAAGCATGGGCAGGAGGTGACCAAAACCCCCACCCCAAATCTCCACCAGAGCAGGACCCAGGCAAGCCACTGCCACTCACTCACTCACTCACTCACTCACTCACTCACTCACTCCCACAGTGCCCTGGTGTGGTTTGACCCAGCCACTTATTTATGAACCAAATCCACGGTTGGTTGTTTGGTGGCTCCTTTTTTAATGAGTAAAACATTTAAAATCAGTTTGAATGGGCTCTTCAGCAGTATGGAGAGATCATGCTGGCTTGAAGAGCAGCAGCTGGTTTAATGGATTTTTTAAAATAATTTTGGGAGTTGGAGCCTTTTCTCCCCCTCTCCCTTCCTAGCACGTTTTCTGTGTTGCATTTCTTTGTTTGGGCAGGGACTCCCCAAACCTCAGTGTTCTGGGTCTCCCCATGTTTGCAGCCTTTAGGGATGGGCAGTGCCACAAACACCCTGTCCCTGTCCTTGGTAGCTGTTCCAAGGGGTGGCTTGTGCCATAGCTCTGCCTGAATTATACAGATCCCTGTCCCTGGGAGAAACTTTTTACAGCTGTAAGATGTGGAAGCCAGGTTTGGTCTGGAAGCTGGGGAGAGAGAAGGCAAGCACACGTGTCCAGGTTTGGCCTTTGGTTGTGTGTGGCACGTGCAGGGTCTTGGGTGCAGCAGGACAGGAAGGGTTTACCTGGCCAGTGCAGCCTCTGGCTCTTGCCAGAAGGCAACAGGAGCAAGGAGCACCCCAGGATGGCTTAATTCCCCAAGGCTTTCAGCAAGATCTGGTGAAGGAGATGTGCTGGGGACACTTCAGGGCAGAAGGCAGTAAGGCAATCCCAGAGAAGCCCTCCTCCACAGGGCTGTGTGTCCACATGTCCGTGTGTCCATCCATGTTTCTTTGCAGTGCTTGTGGTGGCACCCAGTGTCACTGGACTCGCCACCACAGCCAGCATGACCTGGAGGCCCTGGGAATTCAGAGCTTCCCCTCCATCATCATTCTGTCTGCCAATTGACTTTTTAAGCCAATAAACTCCAGAGGGGAGCCCCCACCTAAGGATGCTCTTTGGCTTCCTGGGGTCCATAAAACCCTACAAGTCATTCTCCTCTGCTGTTATAATTTTTTTACACAGCCTTTTGTAAGATCTCCAACTGACTATGCAGAGAACGTGTGGATCTGTGTCTGTCTCCCCAGCTCCCCTCACTTGCCTTTTTTGGTGTCTAAGTAAAATATTTAGCTTTTTTTTTTTTTTGGACAATAATAAAACTTTGAGAAAAAACCTGAAAAGGTGGTGGGGGGGTGGAGACGCTTTGAAACTCTAACGTTGATGTAAATACTTTGCTATTTGATAATTAAATACAAACAGACCTCACAAAACAAAAGTGTAGCTTGTGTATGAGAAGACTTGTTAGCTCCTTAGCATCCCTGCTACAGGATGGATCATATGCAGTACCCATGTAAAGCTCCCGGTACTTCACACACTTTTTTTGAAAGATGCTTCTGGGATCTGGTGGGGCTTTTGTGCCGCTGGAGCCGTTCCCCAGACAGGCTCATGGTTCAGCACAGGATCAGGGCCGTGTCTGGCATGTCCAGCAGTCTGGAGGAAAAGCAAGGCACGCAGTCACTGCAGTCTGAGGGGTGTTCAATGTGCCCCCAGCCTGGGACACGTTGGCACAGCAGGACTCTGCCATTGCATGGCCCAAAGAAAGCTCAGGGCAGGGCAGGGGTGGTGTTTGTGCTGCCAGAACCCAGGGCACGATGCCCCTGAGTGAAGCCACCCAGGGGGACAGGACAGGGACAGCCTCCCTTCAGCTTTATCAGCAACTGTAAGAAACAAGCCTGCTGTGTTAAGGTAATTAGTGGGTGCTGATTGGGATCCCTGACTCGGTGATTAAGTAATTGACATAGAGCACAGCGCTGGGCTTAGGGGCTTTTCTAAATTCAGTGGCTGCTGCTGATGATGATGATCCTTCGCCTTCTTCTTCTCCTCCTTCTTCATCACTACCATCATCATCACAGTCTGGGGTGGCTTTAGTGCCCCTAGCCCCCAGTGTGGCTGCTCTCTCTTCCTCAGACTGATAAGTGACTCAGTCTTATCACCTTAAAAGTTTATTGCTTTATGTTTTGTTTGTCTTTAAAACAATTAAGCTATTGAGTGTGTGCAGGTCCCTTGGTGTCCATGCAATGTGCAGTGTGTGGGCTGGGGATGGGCTGGTGAGGTCACCCCAGGAGAGAAGCTGAGGCTGTGGCTCCTCCAGCTCTCAGATCTGCACCTTTGGCGTGGCTGTTTGAGAATAGGATGGCCATGGGGGGTGAAATGGAGGAGGAGATGGGTGCTGGGGGAGGCCAGGATGCTGCTGTCCAGCCTGACCTTTGGGGAAGTGCAGGGGAACTGAGCTGGTTTGTGTACAGGGGATCAGGGGACTGGATTCAGCACTTCCAAGCCCTGCCTATGGCACTGTTTGTTTCCTCCTCTCCCTGTCTTGTCCTCAGCCTCAGTGGCAGCTGTGGCATCTTAGGAGGGTATTTGGGTGTGTCTGTGGCTGCCCCTGAGCAGCTCTGGTGAGGAGGCAGGGCTGCTGTGCAGTTTGTGTTGGCAATGGGCTCTAAAATGGTGAGGATGAGTTGTTGTCTGACTTGAGCATTCCCTTCACTTATTCAAAGCTCAGTGGTAGAGCTTCCCCCAGGAATATGGAGTCCTGGCTCCCACAGGATAAATGCTTTTGAGTACACAGGGTCAGGCCTGAACTGCAAATCCCGAGTTGTGCTGAGGGTCTGGGGTCTCTCCCACAGCCTAAATGCAGCAGAAGGTCTCTGGGGCAGAAGCAGGGTGCTGTATGTTAAAGGGTTGGCTCACAGCAGGACTGTCCCCCTGTGGTTTGCTGGCAGTGCCACCAGAGTTCCCACAGTGCCTGTTACTCACTGGTAACAAGGGGTGGACAGGAGGCTGCCAGCATGTGTTCCCTCAGAGGACACAGCCTGTTGTCACTTGGATCTCATCCCCTCCAGCAGCAGGTCTGGGTGGCATCTGAGCCATCTGTCCTCCCTTGCCCTGCTACCAGAGGATTCGCCTTTGCTGAAGAGTAGCAAAACCCTCTTGCCAAGGGTTAATCTTCAGGCTCTGGAGGGGAGGACTAAAGTCCTTACCCGACCGTAGCTTACCTCCCACGGCTGGGAAACCACCTGGTGCCAGAGAAAAGCTGCAGGGCAGGGCTACCTGTGACCCTGAGTGATGTTTGTGGATTGGCTGAACCAGCCTGGGTGACAGCAGGAGGGGACAAGGTCGGTGCTATTGTCAGTGGGACTGTGCCTCTGGATTTGGCTGCCTCCCTAAGCCCACTGGTGGGTGCTTCCAGCCCAAATGGCTCCTCCATGGGATCAGCCTCTTTCCTCTGGCTGCTGCTGTTTGTAAGGCCACATTGTGGGCTTTTCTCAGGGTGAGCAGGAAGAGAATCCAGGCAGGAGACACTAATCACCCAGCAAGATCCCTGGATGAGAGGCAGATGCTGGGAGAGCAGGCTGATCCTGCCTGCACCCCAAGCACTGCTGGGGAATTCAAGTGCCAAGTATCAGATCCTAAGATGATGCACTATGACGGTTATCAGCCAGATCTAAATCTTCAAAAAAAGGGCAAGCCTTGTATATTCCAGCTGTTCATGCTGGGGATGCTCCCTCTCCCTGAGAAGGGTTGAGAAGGAGTATGAACAGCCCCTGGACCCTAAAGCTGTATTAAGGAATCCAAGGACTGCCTGAGCCAAGCTGCATCTCTGTTCCTAAGGATTGGAACCTGGGCTGGCTTTTGTTTTTGTTTTTTTTCTTTATTGACCCTGCTGTGTCACTGATCTGTTATGTGACCTAGAAAAGAAAATGATCTCTCCCTCATATGGAAAGACAAAGGAGCAGCTTAAGGCTCCAGCTCCCTGTATCCAGGGAGCATCAGGCAGATGGACACTGTAATTGAGCAAGGTGATGAGACTCACTCAGTGCCAAAGTGTCAAGTGACACTTGCAGGCAGTGTCCAGGCTCAGTGGGGCCTGGCACAACACAGTGGTTGTGTTCCATATCCCACAGCTTTGAGCCACTGGTGCAGTCCCCACACAGAGAACCCGTGGTACCCCCAGGACACGCAGGGACAGAGCCACCCCACTGTTCTTCTGGCAGAGAAGGGCAAAACATCTCCTGTGAGCATTTTTCCATGCAGCTGGCAAACACCTGGCTGAGCACTCCGGCTGTGTCTGTCCAAGCTCAGTCCAGGCTCTGGTGCACAGGCAGGGAAACTGTGATGCTGCTTTTCACAAGCCATCAGGTTTGACCTGTTCTGCAGTCACAGGCTGTTTTTTCAGTCTGTTTATGGAGAAGGATGAACAAGGCATTAGCATGGGATGTGAGACTTGGTTGGGTTCCTCCTTCTGCCCGAGGCTTTCTGTCTGACCATGACAAAGTTGCTTTACTTTTCTATCTTTACAATGAAGATGGTATCTCAGGGCCCTAAAGAGGTTAAGAGAGTGTGCTGGGGAGGGCTATGTGCATATCAAAGAGTGCTCCTTCTCTGCAGTAGGGGTGGGAGGCTTCTTACCCCATTGAAAGCTGTCCTGCAGCCTCCTCTGAAGTGCTTTTTTCGAGCTGGGTTTCATACAAGGCAAGAGCCCGCAGCTGTACCTTGTCTTGAACCCCACGTACAAAGCCAAGGCTTGCTCTCATCCAAAGGGTTGTCTGGCTTCGTGGCTAGCACTTATTTAAATTACTGTAAAGTGCTACTTGGGTAGTGAGCAACAGAAGTGTTCTCTTGACAGAAAAGAGTGCATTCGCTTCAATACGTTGAAACTTAAAGGTTGCTCAGAGCACAGCTGTGCCATGGCTTGCAATGAGTGCCCTCCCCCTCTCCTTTCCATTCGTTATTTATGCCTGAGTTGATGTGACAGCTACTGGGATTTCCCTCAGCCTGACAGGTGACAAAAGCTGTCAGATCTATTTTTGATGTGGCACATGCTTTTCCTTACTCATGTAAACAATAATATGCCCTGAACTATTTCCAACTTGGACCTGGTCTGCAGAACAAGGGATAAAGCCAAGCCTGTTTCAGTTCCAGTGACACAGCTCCCACACCCTTTAACCTCTCCTTGAACACTCTCAGGTGCTGCTGGGCACTCTCGGATCCTATAGTCTGTCTCACTCTGTTCTACACGGGGCCGGGGCCATGGCCAAGGCTGAGGAAAGGCTCACAGCACCACGTGTCCCCCTGGAAGGCTGGTGGCAGCTGGGCCGCCCTGAGCAGAGGGACAGGCTGAGGTGATGTGGTATCATGGGATGGGCTCACACCACGTGGGCACCCAGCAGACACTTTTACTGTCGGCACTGGGGATTAGCAGCTTCCAGGACAGCTCAGAGGTTTAATTTCATAAGCAGCAAGAAAAAGGGGAATCTGTCATGTAAGTGCAGAGATATACACAACACAGGAGGTGCTTCTGTTGTGAGATGAGGCTGTTTAGGAATTGCCAGTCTGGCTCCCAGTCAGCCCACGGTCAGCTTAAACAGTCAAGAAGAGTCAGTACCGGGAGCTACAAGGCAAACAAGCTCTGCCTCTTGCTGGAGACTGTTTGGGGTTGCAGTGCTGGGAACAGAACAATGCAGAGACACGTGATTGCTGGGCTAAGGCATCCACAATCAGCAGCCAATGCATCATGCTGGGCAGGAGGCCATAGACCAAAGTTTATAAAGCTTTATTAAACATTTTGAACAGCTGTGCAATGAACAAACAATACTCTGGAAGTTTCACAACCTCATAGCCTGAACTGCCTCAGGACAGCAACAGCCACTTCTGCTGCTCTCCACCAGAAGACAGAAGGAAAGACAAACAGATGGCAAAGGAGAGGAAACCTTCAAAGTTTAGAGGTAAGCGTTTTGTGTCAACCTCTAAGGCTTCTCACAAACCAACCTCTGCCCCAGACTTCAGGCCTGACCCACCAACACCTTGGATTCTTGACATCCTTCTGCCAGGGAAGCTGGAGACACCAGGTATTTTTCCAGCCTTCTCTAGTCAGTAGCACCAGCACTTTGTGTCACCTCTGGCCCAAAACCATTATCTCTAAAAATGGATGAAGCATTTACTGCTTCAAGCCATGCCTCCAACTCATGCATCCTCTCCTGCCCTGCCCATATCCAGCCTTCTGGGCTAGCATGAGTTTTGTAGGGTGAAGTTCACAGTGGCTTCCAAAACCCTGTGTCTTGCAGCATGCTGGTTCTTTCTCCCAACAGTCAATACCTTGGTAAACCCAGGACATAGAGGAGGAGGGAAGAGACAGTCTCTACTGCCTGTCAGGCTTTATAAAAGCAGCAGCATAACTGAGGCTTTCAGGCCGGGATCTTGGAGCATAGAGTTCAGAAAGCACTTCAGCAGTGCACACATCTCTTTGGCTGTCTGGGCAGGAGGAGATGACTCACCTGCCTCTGGCTGCAGCAGCTTTTGGCCAAGTCCATTTGTGAGCTGTTGCACTCGCCCTTGATCAGCAAGGTGGGAGGCTGGCCCCCCACAAAGACAGACTGAGAGAATCTTGTAGCTATTCAAGCAGGATCAGTGGGCCAAGAGCCCTGAATTAGACCACCATGGCCTAATGCAGACAAGTGACACACGACTCCAGCACTCCCAGCTGGGCAGGGGCCAGCGGCTCAGGCTTCCAGCAGTTCTCAGTTGAGAGGGCTGGTGTCTGCTCCCGGTGATACGGGAAAGAAAAAAAAAGACTTCTGCTTCTAAAAAAGCAGGTGGTGGTGCCAGAGTTCACACAGTAAACGAGTCGAATTTCACAGGCAGAGTGGGAAGAATTGCCACTCCAGTCCACGCACAGTTACAGGAAACAGGTTGTCCTTACTCCAGACCCATACCCAATACCCCCCCTCCTCCCCAGCCCCACCCCCTTTTTAAAGCAAAACAATAGCCCTCAGTAGATTGGAAGATTATGATTTTCTAGGTGCCCACTATGTTGGGATCGTGAGCTGATTCTGGCAACTGGGATCCTGTGCAGTGATACAAGAAGCAGTTCCCCCAGCAGCTGTAGCAGATGAGGAATAGAGCTGCTAGGAAGACCAAGGCACAAATTGTGCAAGGTTTCCGTTCCAGGAGAAAACTGAGCAGGTAGAATCCCATGAACATTGAGTGACTGAACCACAATGCTGGGTTGAGGGGCTTGGGTATGAGAAGGACAGGTAGCAACCACTGAAGGCAGTACATTGTGGCTGGCTGGGGCCTCACTGGCAGTAGCAGTCAGATGTGCTCCAGCAACTCCTCCGGAGGGAAGGCTGCTCTGTAGGGAAGGGAAAATATCAGACTGTCAGAGAAATGCAGGGAAAAAAATCAACAGACATTCTTTTAAAGCTTCATTTACTCCCAAGCATCATATGCTGATGGTTGAACTCCCAGTATTAAATTCTGGTGTGTCTTGGAGCTTGTGGAAAGCTTCCTGTTTTCTGAACCACTCAGGTGGGGACAGGATCAGCTAGTGCTGGTATAGAAGTGTATCCTGTGTGCTCTGCTCCTCAGGTCTTTATCCAGGCTAACAAGTGAGATCCTTTCAGCATAGTGCAGGAACAGAAAGAGAGAGGTGGAAATGGGAAACAAGCTGCCATAGCCTTCCTTGCACACATTGATCCAAGACAGTCCAAAGGCTTGAGTGATAATATAAATTGAAGGGTAATCATTATTTGGTGTTACAGAGCAGTGTTAAGGAAGCATTAGTGTAAGGAATTGTTCTGCACACAAACAATAAAGTCTTCCAGCAGGACAGCACCAGACCAGCCACACATCAAGCTACACAGGAAAGCCCTGGCAGTGTCCAGGCTGTAAAACAAAGGGAAGGACAGTCCCTGCTTAAGGGTTTATAATCCTTGCCAAACAGCTAAAGTCAGATAAGACAAAGTATGTGAATAGAACAAAGGGGGAGACAGGCTCAAAATGGCAATTTCCATAAGTGCTGTAAACACAGGATTTCCTCACTTGGATTATTATAAAACCCTCTGGAAGCTGAGGGCTTTCCTAGGCAGGGATGGCAGCACACTGCAAGTCCAGAAGACCTGCTCCTACCTTCAGCAACCACCTCAATGACACCAAGTACGTGCTTGTGTTTCTTCCTTTGAAGCACTACAAACACCTTCAAGAATTTCAAATGGCTTTAAAAACAATAAATGCCTCACCCCCACTAAGAAGAGTCTGGTGGGGACAGTTCCTTGCAGCAAGCCTTGTATCTGCAATTACTCAATGGAGCAGTGCTCCCTCAGAAGGATGAAGGGCTCAGCCAGCCTGTTAGGATTAGAGCTGGGGGTGGGAAGGTTAGTAGGATGAAAGAGTGAGAATGTAAACAAACAGCACATTCCACTGGCTCCTGTTGGCAGGAGAAGGGATTTCCTGGCAAAGGGAGAGAGAATGAGGAGGGATTGGAGAGAAAAGCCAAGAGAAAACCACACGAGGTTCTCTTCCAAAAGAACACTGAGGTCAGACTTGTCTCACAGGTACCAATGGGTTCTGCTGGCAGCAGCAGGAAATGCTGCCACCCTGAGCAGCACAATCCATTTTACTTTAATGTTAGTAGAAAAATGCAGGCCAACATCTCCACCAGCACAGACATTATGCAAGAAAAGTACATTGTGCTGGTGTTCCTGCAAGGGAGTGCTCTCCAGCAGAGAGGGCAGCTGGAGTTCAATTAGTAAAACTAAGCAGCAGCTCAGTAGCCAAAGAGTAAGGAAAAAGTTATTTTATGCTGTAATACAGATAAAGCCAGTCACAGGCATAAAGGTCCCAATTTTAGTCCTGTTTTAGGCATCACTTGCATCTTTAAGGGCAAGTCTAGTCCCAAGCCTTTTCCCCCATCTATAAACTGAAATTAGCTAATACTCATTTAATAACAAAGCATGCTGTCTGCTTGCCTTTGTGAATTGCTCAGATGTTTCCAGAGTAAACAATACCACAGAAGTACTGGAGAACTTTTGGTCCAAGGGGAAGAATGGAGAGAAAAAGATCTAGCAACAGATATTTGAACAGGAAGGTAATTAAACCCCATCACCCAACTTTTCAGTTCACAATGCAGCAAAGTTGTACTAAATCAATGATCTGCAGCTGCCTTAATTCTCCTGAAATGTTCCCTTCTTTAAATTTCCTGCAATTTTTTCCTCACAAGGGCTCCAAACATTGAACATTAAAAATCACTGCCTAAACACCATGTCATGTCTTTGCTAGATCCAGCCTTAAGCTGCATCAGCTTGATTTCTGTGGCAATTTGTGTCACCTGTTCTCAAAACTTTAGTTTAAAGTGCCTACTTTGCTTTGGGTTTTCTGTCTCTAGAGTAAAGAAATGGGTAAAGAATGTGTTTGTTAAGTAGCACAAGGCTGAACCAACTAGAATTTTTCAGAACTAAGGTCACAAATCTCTCAGCTTTAATAGGGTCATGTATCACTATTGAGCTTTTAGTCCCAAAATGTACAACTGACTACAATTAGAAAATAATTATAATATTTGTGTTGTAGCAATACTTCGTACTTCATGGCCTGGACTCCTCATGGCCTACAATGTTCTTACCAATAACTCTAAACACTGAGTTCATTTTAAGCATCTAAGCTTTACTTGAGCACTTCCTCCAAACACAAAGCCATCTCAGGACAAGTTACTCATTTTTAAATATTAATATTTCCTGCAAGAACCAGTCGCTTGTAGCAACCAATGCAACCACTGCAGAATAAAGAACCATTTAATAGCAGTTATTTTTACTATGAAGTTTCAATGCCAATGCGCTTCAACCTGCAAACCTCCTGGATTTCTGCCAAATGCAGCCACTCAAACAGCTGCTCTTTGTATCTGTAGTCAGTCTGCTTGAATTCCCACGTGTCCCTTTGCTACCAACCAGTTAAAGGCTGAGAATCCTTTGCTGTATCCCACAGCTGATCCTACACAAAGTACTCACTACTGGAGTACTTACTACTGGAGGCTGCTACAGCTCTATCTCCCTCAAGGACTTCCCACTATTAAGATATGTGCTCTTCACTAGAGATTCTCTGTACAGCTGGCATTGAGACTGAGTTTTCTTTACACTCTATTGATCAAAGAGAAACAGCACCTCCTGCTATCAGCTCTTCATTGAGCAGGGAACATTCTCCTTCGTGCCCAGGATATGCAGATCCTTCTGGAAGCCACATCAATATTTGGTTTTGCCTGGTTTCTCAAGCAAGGTAAAGCTTGCAAATTAGGATTCCTACCTTGTTGTCTTTGTCCCCTCCTCACAATCCAAGCCAAAGATTACCATGTTCCAGAGCAAATAATAACCTGTCACCCAACAGGACTGGTTTCACAACTGCATCCTGCTTTCCCTCAACCAGTTGCTCTTGTTCTCCCCTGTCTGACTCACCTCTTGCCTCAGCCAGCCCAGTGTCCCGCTATCCCCAAACCTGCTCCTGTGCTGCTCCTCATGTCACCTAATTTGGTGGCCACTCATGTTTACCTGATGGCTCCTTTCCACTTCTCCACAGCTCTTGGAGCCACTTCAGACCCCTCGGCAGCAGAGCTGATGATGCTCCCACTGTGGCCCAGTCTGATCTCCACGTGCTGCCAGAGCCTCCCCCTGCCAGTTCCAGTTCCTGCAGGCAGAGGAGCAGCCAGGGGAGGTTCCCTGCACACCTCCTTAGTAAGCAAGCACCAATACTTTTCCACATGCTTATTAGCTGGCTTCCATTGCATTCCCAGCCCTCTTTGCTGTCATCTTCCCTCCCAAAAATATTCAGGTCCTACTGGTGTATGTTTGTGCTGAGGATTTTGGAATTCCAGTGCAAAGGCAGCAGCAGACCTTTCCCAAGCAGGAACAAAATTTCAATTTTGACAGGTCTAGAGTGAGTAGCACAGTGCACTGCTTTGCAATGGATCAGTCACGTTTTGGAATAAATCCATCTGAGGAGCTAGCAAGCAGTTCCTTCATATTCTACAAACTAATTCAGCAATTAACACCCTGAGAGGTGTTCCTACACCATAGGTTTGACACATCAACATGTCAATATCAGGTCTGTACCTCTCCCAAGAACATTTGAATTCTTTAACAGTCCATTTACCCTGGAAGGGGAGAATAATCAGCTAGCTTTCCCTAAGCACTTCAAGAATAGGCTTGTTCAGACCTTACAAAGGCAGCCTTGAAGCCAGTGCTGTCCACACAGAACTCCCCCAGCAGATGCTACAGAAAGAGTCTCCCAGGCTGAGAGCTGAAAGGTCTGCAATAAAACACTGAGTAACGTTTTTATTGGGGCGTGCTGGTATCACCCTCCCCCTTTCCCAAAAGCTGAAGTCTCTGCATGTGATGAAAAGCCACACTGGTTAGATAAAAGTCTCTCAAGTTATCCAATGCACATAAACTGAAGAGCAAGCCTCAGGGATGTGTTTCTCACCTACAATGTTCACCTGTCTGCTTAAAATTGTTTTAATCAAAAACCCTGTCACAACTACTAACTGCTGTGTGTGGGCAGTGCTTCACACTGCCAGCGTGTGTTCAAAACCAACTCAAATATCACACAGCACCCAAAGCAGCTGCTGAAAAATACACATCATCTAAAGCACTGGGACAAAAAGAGAGGTGAAGAACTATCAAGTAACAAGTTGGAAGAGTTCAGCTAATAAAAGCAACAGCACACCAGCTTCCCAGATGCCAACCCTCTGTCGTAAACCCAAGAAACATAACAGCTCAAACTTTAATACCTATTTGCAGCAGGGATTAACTTCTCTAGGGTTTTTTTTTTAGCCTTGCCACTATTATTTCAATTTTTTTAAAAGCTTTATATGCTGGTATGACTCAGCTGGAAAGAGTGAGTCTATCATTTTTGGCAAAGGCCTTACCCTAGGCTTGGATCATGCCTTGGACACTTGATGTAGACTCAAAAATGGTGCAATGTAATCACAACAGTTTCCAAAAAGAGTAACAAATCCTTTACAAACCAAACCTTGGGGTTAGTGTTCTGCTTTCTCAAGCTAGACACAAGCCAAAGCAACTCACTTGGTGAAAAGTGAAGGCTCTCTGTTGAGCTACTCTTTTCATCACTTCCAGGCAAAGCTGCCCTCTGAGCTTCATTTTTGATGGAGGATGGATTAGTTTTTGTCCAGAGGCAGCATCCATGCCATGTGGACTGCAATGCCCTCACAGCAACAGGGTGAATCCTCCTCCACCCATGAGCAGGAAGGCAGAGAAGAGATCCAAACTAAAACTAATTGTTTTTTTCAGAGAACTTGGAATGGGCCTGGAAATCGTCAGGAATCAGAGGAACAGAAGCTTAAGTCAGCCATCTCTGTGGTGGGAAGAGATGTCAGCAGTCACAGTTGTCATCTGAAGTATTACTACTTTCATTTGTACTAATTCATTAATTTTCAAAGGTCCTCATTCCCACCTTCTGCCTTTGTTCAGCTGCTAAAGATCACAACTTCCAGGCCCATTCCAAATTCCCTGAGAAAAGTAGTTTTAATTTGGACCTCTTCTCCACCTTTTGTGCCTTCAGCATGCTTCAGAGGTACAAATACAGCCTGATAAGGGTGAGTTTACTGCATCTCAGATTTCCGCATCTGCATTAGGAAAGGCAGAAATGCTCTTTGGGCAGCTACGAGGAGTTATGACCTATAGCTTGGAAAGACAAAGGTTAACTGCACTATGACAGTACTTGCAAGGTCCACTGAAGTGTTTCAGTACCAGAGAAATACGGGAGAGTTCAGCATGTTGTGGCCCACCTTTAAGAGCTTGTCTTTCCTCTTACACTCGCATGTTTGGGATATCATGAGCAATGTTCGTGTGACAGAACAGCTCGCAAACTCCCTTTGTAGCTGGCTCAAAGCACGTATGGGGGCTCGAGGAGGGTGCGTGGCCGGGCACAAGAGCGCTGCATTCACAGACTATCACAGAATATCCCGGGCTGGAAGGGACCCGCAAGGCCCATCCCAGTCCAGCTGCCTGCACAAAACCTTGTCAAAGACTGCGCTGCCCTGGGGAGAAACGAGCCCGGGTTTCCTTTCAGAAGGCGCTAACGAGAACTACGAGAGGTTCGTTGCCGAGCGCAGAAGGAAGGGAGGGGAGGGCACACACCATGCTGTTATTTCCATGCTGGCACCGAGCTCAGGGCCGGCCGAAGCCTTTTCCATCGCGGCCCACGCAGGGCTCCTCCGCGGCGGGGAAACCTTCCCCCTTTCCCCCGCCTCCAGATCCCCGAGGCTCGCAGGGTTCCCCCGCTCCACCAGCTGGGCCCCGTGCCGCTCCCCGGCCCGTACTCACCGCGCGGTGCCGCCGCCTCACGCCGCCATCCCGGGGCCGCCCTGAGGAGTGAGGGAGAGGCCGGCCGGGAGGCGGGGGACGCCCCGCAGGCCCCACGCGGCCGGCCGGCTGTCGCCGGGAGCGCTGCCGGCGCTGCTGCTCCGCTGCGGGAGCGGGGGCGCGGGGAGCGGCCGCTCCTCAGGCGGGTCCGAGAGCCCCGCGCGGCCACAGCTGCGCCTGCGCGGGGCCGCTGCGCCTGCGCACGGGCGGGGGCCGCGCGGGGAGCCGGCCTGCGCTGGATTCGCGTCTTGTAAAAAAGGGATTTTGTGTTTATGGGTTCTTGTAATGGGCCACGCTTGGTCTGTTCAGCCTGCAGAAGAGGAGGCTGAAGGGGAGACCTCAGCGCTGCTTACAGCTTCCTCACGAGGGGCAGCTCCGATCTCTTCACTCTCATGAGCAGTGACAGGTCCCGAGGGAACGGCCTGAAGTTGCGTCAGGGGAGGGTTGGTTGGATATTAGAAAAAGGATTTTCACCCAGAGGGTGCTTGAGCACTGTAACAGGCTCCCCAGGGCAGTGGTCACAGCCCCAAGCCCGTCTGAGTTCTAGAAGCATTTGGACACTGTTCTCCGGCACAGGGTGGGATTGTTGGGGTGTCCTGTGCAGGGCCAGGAGTTGGACTCGAGGATCCTCGTGGGTCTCTTCCAGCTCAGAATATTCTGTACTTATTATTCAATTGTGTTTCCACACCTTGTGCTGTGCTGCCT